TATCTGAAGGATACTTATTATTATAATTCCCAGTAAGAACATACAGATTCAGTTCAAATTGTTGATCATTTAATTAAATAAGTTATTCATGTAAAAGAGTTTTTCTTATAGATGTTTACTGCTCCTTTGTTTCACCATTGATGGAGTTATGTGACCACAGTGGAATTAGAACAGATACTGAGTAAAATGCTGACTTACCTAGTTTGAGTTTCTGACTCTAAAATAGGTAAGGAGATTTGGGAAGGTGCATAAGTCTCTAAGCAACTACAATGTTCCTTAGCAACAGCAAGGTAGTACAGTCATCTCCAGCTGTTTAAATGTTAGTGTTGTTTATATGGTTAACTTCAATGACCAAAAATCTAACTCAAAAGTGTTCAAAAAATTGTTTTGTTTTTAAATTCAAATATTTGCATATTTTCATATATATATTTCTCTTTAATGATTTTCTTGATGTTTTTAGTGTAGCTTTTAGGGGCATTTCTGTGATGATATTGTAAAGGATAGAAAACATCTCACCTAGAAACAAAATAAAAATCCAGCATTTTCCTATTTGTTTACTATTACTTCACCAGGAATAACAACATCAGAAGAATCAGATGCTTTATGAATGTGTATTGAGCATTTCAGGTGAAATGATTTTGGTTTAACCCACTTGGTTAAGGGACAGTCCCCTGACTATAGAACAAGAAGGTTCAGACCCCTAAAAGTAAACAAGTGGACCTCAAAACCACACATGCAGAAACATAAAGACCAGTAAGGTGCAAGACATGGGGAGAATGCAGTGATACAAGCCATTATAATGAGAAGCTGTGTGGAGCTGATTCGGATGAACTGCAAGTTATGCTTTTGATGACCAGCGACCAAGTTTATTTATTAAATGGCTGGGAATTACCTTGACAAGCTGCTGAGGAGGCCATACCAATTCTGTTATAATGCCGTGATAAGATGGAAAAAGCAGTTTCTGCTGGACAGGCTAAGGAATCCAAGTGCTTGATCCCAGTGAAAGAACAAGGAGAAACGAGAGCTGGGGAGGTCACTGTGTGGGCTGAATCAAAAAGAAGCAAAATATCCTGAAGGTGAAAAGAGTACGAGGTATGAGACACAATGTGGCCTTTCTCATTAATGTTGAGGGGATCAGGTGAGAAGGTACCTTAAAAAAATTGCATAGTTGGAGATGATTATGATTGAGAAGAAGTTCATAAGGACTAAGGTACAATTGTACTCATATGTAATAGCAAATATACAGTAGGTGCTCAAATTAAACTGTATTGTTTTATGTTTTTTTAGACAAAATGTTAGGGTATCTAAAATAAAACATTGATATCAGGTAAGCAGCGACAAACAGAGGAATTGGAAAACATTGAAGAGGCTGTAAATTCAGAGCACTTTGGAAAACCAAGGAAGCTAATAAAGAGAAATTTCTTACATTTTATCAACAAATGATGAATGGTAGTCCAATATAATTGCGTATGTGCAAACAGATAAAATATCTCTTGTAACTGGCATCTGCTGTTTTGGATAAACTACTCAGGACATTGAAGACTTTTGATAAGCAAGATAATTTGTGGATGGGATGTGAACACATAAACAGTTCCATACATAAACTTATAAGAAAATTGAATTCTTCTCAGGTGAGCCGTCATTGCAGAGAACCAGATCATGTGAGTTTTTGCGCAGTAACATATGAAGAAGGAAATGCTTAAAATTTCAGAAGATGGGAAGTTAACTAAAGATGGAAATAGCTTGATGAAATGATCAACATTCCTGATTGAATAGAGTTAGTTCAAAGGAAAAGTAGCTAGGAATATGGCAGAACTGGGCAAGGATCCAAAGTGGCATTTGGAGCTAAAGTCTTAAATTTCTGAAACTAGAAACGAGGAAGTACATCAGCAATATTATTAAATGGGATGTGAACCACAGTAATTAAGGAAGATTATCAGAATGAATGAGGACAGACGTGTGTTTCCCATTTTGACCCTGAAAAAAGGTAGTGATGTTGATGGAGTAAAATTTAAAAAGTTGGAAGCATTTTCAGCATTCGATCTTGAAGAAAATTCAGAAGGCCAGTTTGCTGCAGACATACAGTATACATAGTTATAGTATATACAATAGAATATTCAAAACAATAGAATATAAACATTAGCGAATCGTGTTGGATGTTGAAATATCAAGGAAATGTCAATGATAGAACACCTGCTGACTATAAAAGTTTTTTCTTTCCTTTGTAGGGTTGTTTTGTTGTTTGTTTTGAAAAAAAAAACACAGTGGTGAATATTTTGTTATCTCCTGTCTTTTTTGGTTATATTATTTGATCATAAGAAGCATGGTCGTGGCATTTAATTTTGTATTAGTCAAACTAAAAAAAAGAGGTATGTGTGAGATACATTGGAAAGGTTATGATTTAGAACGTCTGGATGAAATTAGTTAAGAACTTCCTTTTGTCTCATTTTGAATTCACGCTGATCTCAAGCAATTCAGATAGCAAAATTATAAAGTGTAACATAAGAAAAAACAGTGCAAGCCCTAATGTGGGAGTTAGCATCCAGGAATGGGAGACACATTATGTGGAATTTTTGTGCCTGAAGTACTATACAATGGTCTGGTGTTTTTATGTTTTATTTATTTTTGGAACTTGTTGATGTTAAGGCTTTTGACATCAATCCCTCAATCCATTTTCTACTTGCTCTTTTCTAATTCAGAGTCACAGGGGAAACGAGAGTCTATTCTGTCAAGCAATGGACACAAGGCAGGGTTCACCCTGGATGGGACACTAGTCCATCGCAGGGCAGACACACACAAACACAGACAATCACACACTCACACTAGGGACGTTTTTACCTAGAAGCCAATTAACCTAGTAGTACTGTATGTTTTGAACTGTGGGAGGAAACCAGAGCACCCTGAGATACTTCTTGCCAAGGCCAGGGGTGGGTTGTGATTTGATCATGGAAACTTACCATGTGTTGCATCTGAATATATTGGATAAGAATAGTTGTTACTGTATATTGTTGGAGGAAAATCCTTTAACACTCTTATGATTTTAGTTAATCTTTATGCCACACATTGGGGTGACACTCATTTTACTAATAACCTTACTCCCATTCATCCTGATTTGAACACCCACCACTTAGTGGGAGACTAAGTGCTGTATAAATCCAGTTTTAGATCACTTATCTTTAAAACCCCACATGACATTCAAAGTCTGCGTCAGTAATACAATTATTTCTCTCAGGCAATTTCTGAACCTTGATGTTTTTCGTACTCTATGGGTATGGAGTATTTTATTTGTTCCTCTGGTCACTATATATACTATATATACTCACACGAAACATTCCATTTTATAGACAATAACTTAATATGAACTGCAAACTTTTGCATTTACCATAGCACAGTTATTTTAGACTATAATACTTTAATTCTGGAGATTTTTTAACCAAAGAGGCTGTGCCCAGAGCACCTTGGCAATTTAGTCTCCTTATGATAGTATGAAGAATTTGTGAATTTTCTGTCTGACAAGATTTTTTTTCTACAGTGGTCCCAATTATCTCCATATGGAAGGCAAAGAAAGCTCATTTATGTGGTAAGATTATCTCCTGTACTGCTCAAAAGAATAAAAGCAATAGGGAAAGAGAACATGTGTTAACTGACCTCATTCTACAACTAAACCAGTAATTTATCCTTTATAAGAACAGATTAAAAGAAAAAACATAATTTGATATCCTCACAACTCCTCAATTAGTAAAATAATAAATAAAGTCCCATTGTTCCACCTATGAACTTTGTGGAAAAAAATCAATTTAACTCAGAAAGCTAAATGTTATTTGTAATATGACTTAAGCACCAGTCTTTTTATTAATATTTTTTAAATGCAGTAAATGCAAGAACTATTCATTCTTAACTGTTTTCCACATAGCTTGCATGTTTTCCATGATCTGCAGGGTTTATTTACTTATTACAGATCCAGCCATTCAGAATGCGTGCCAGATAACGCAGCAATTCACAGTGCAAATGCCTCAACACAACATACTGTACTGCACCGCACTTTTTTAAACATTCTGTTGTCAGACTGCAGTATTTTGTAAAACTGCCAGGTGGCGCAGTGAATGTTTAACATGGCGTGTGGAAGTATTTGGGCTTGAGACAATCTTTTTCTGATTACATAATTTAAAATGTATAGTATTTAGACTTTATAATGTTAAATTGTGTATTACAGTATGTTAAATATTAAATAAAAAAAAGAAAGTAGGGCTATTTTACAAAAAACAAAATTATTCAGTTGGATATATAAAGTAGTTTATTATAATAATAATATTATTATGAAGAAGCTTGTACATACAGTAAATGGTAGTGGTAGCTAAATACAAAAACACACAGAACAGTATTCCACCTTCATAAACATTTTATGCATCGAAGTCTTTAACTCGGTAACTTACAGTGGTTATTTTGGAAAAGTTTTGACATGCTTGTTCAAACTATATTAAGTTTATATAGTTCATATTAAGCTACAGTATAATGTTTTAACCTTTTCTAAGAATATGTAATAAGAACACGGTACTTGCTGTTGTTATTGTTGTAGAAAAAAATGTAGTACTACCTTAAACCCACATGACAGGGAATATTAACACACAATTTTGTAACTAAAGAAATTCTGGCAGCTAAAAGTATCACTTTTCAGAAACATTTTGATATGTTCATTTTACGTATGTACATTTTGCTGTCCTTATAGTTGTAATGGACAACAAAACGCTCATACTGTACACTGAAATGGAGCTCATTGCATTCAAGCAGCAGTTTAGTATGGCAGTTAGACTCTCGCCTGCTACTCAAAAAGTGAAGGATTTGATTCCTGGACAGAAATGTTTTATTTTATAATATAATAGTTTATTTTTATAGCTTGCTGTAAACGTATCGTTTATTTCAACAACAAGTAATCAGGAAACAATTTAACTATTGATTATGGAAATATATTTCACACATACTTTTCTTAAGTGGATTTAAAACAATATGGCATCATACTGTACTTTCTGTATATACAATATACTTATAGAGTATACAGATCATTGATGTGTATGCTATTGTTTTGGCATATCTGTGGATATGACTTCATGCGATTCGTCTGTGAGGAAAAATTCATGAACAATTACGGTTACGAAAAAATTCACTATCAATTCTCTATTAAATGAAATAAATAATTTAATGATAAAATTAATTTGTAAATTATATTCACATTTCCGAATATTAAGTAATAACATTCATGAACCTCCAGGCCAACAATCTTGAGGTTCTTCGGAAATAGCAAGAAAATTTAAAGATGCCGCAATTGAGTTGTTACATGTATACAGCACTTAGTTTTGAACACAAATTTTAATGCCACTATGTATATTTTTAACTGATAAAATTTAAAATCAATTTTTTTATTTGTACACATTTTTTGCTGCCCTTTTTCTTCCTGGTAGTTAATGTAATTACTGTATGTGCGCTGTTCCCTTATGTTACATGATTACTCCGTAGAAAGTAGACACTAGAAGGGCATAGAGAACATTGTGGCACTGGGGGAATTTTTCTGTCTGCTGACGAGTTATAGAGGAGAAACGTTGTGTCCCCATTCTGTTCCTTTCAGCATGAATTTAACTTTCATGTGTTCCATTGCAGCCAACACATGCAACGCAGCTCCCTATTCAAACTTCTTTAACTTACATTATGTCTGTTACAAAGGGTAGGGGTTTAATGTCCCACTGTGTTTGTTATTTGAAATGGGCAGTTTTGCTTGGGGGATGGGACTGAAATTTCAGTCTTCTGCCCTCTTCTTCTGCGCTTCTTCTTGCACATTATCATAAGGCAACACTTATTTTTCCTTAGTGCACGTTCTGTAGTTTTAAAGCTACTACAGACCGTCAGTGTGAAACATATTTATTTGTACTGTAACAAAGCGTACCCCAGTCACAGAGTCCTACATTCAAACTATTCTTGAGCAGCTGAAACGTGCTGGGTGCCTGGGGCAACATCTGGATGCTAACTGCTTCCTGCCGGGGCGTAACAATGACCCCAGGTTGTTTCATGCCAATCATGCAATCCAACTGAAAGAAGAAAAATTAAATAAACATGAAAAGACTTTTTAAAGTTTTCATTAACACACTTTATTCCAGAGATATTTCGATGTCAATAACTACGCAAGGAGAGCACGCAGATCTCATTACACTCTATGGAGAGTTGAGCAATTACCTCCATTTGAAAACAAATGTGTTCTGCAGCATTTTTTAAAAATATCAAAACATTTATAGACTTTCCTAATACATAACCACAGAATATATATTGTTTCCATTCAAAAATAATTCTACTTCAAGTAAAAACACATTCATGATATGCTCATACCCCAGTATCTGAATCTAATTCATTCTTGAAAATCTGTTCAGAAGGCGGGAGATCTAATAAAAATTTGATTATATCTTATGGGGAAAATTCCACTCTAAACATACAGACCGTTATAGCAAGCTTAGTGAACAGCGTAATTCTACTCAAACAAATAATCGTCTAGAATGATGTGCACATTGTTCTCGACTATTATGCTAAAGAATCTTTTTCTCTTCGTTAAGATCCCATAATGAACAGCAACTACAAAACAAACACAAAGCTTTTGCTGTGATTGAAAACAAAGCACTGCTGCCTCGCGGCGTCCTTAACCACAATGCTGTGCGCATGCGCAGAAACAAACAGCTGTTCACAGAAGGTTCTCAGCCAAAATCAGACACTTTCGAACTTCAAATTTTGGGTTAGCAAAATTTCGTTCTTATAACGAATTACAAAGTACAAATTATGATCAATGCTGTAATTGAGCGTAGTTAGGGTTAAAATTTCTATCAATGTTTAAATGAATAGAATTTTGTCATTTTCTTTAACTAAGCCAAATTATGCAAGTTTCAATTTCTTTATGGACACAATTTGAAAATGTTGATAGTATTCTATGTAGAAGTGCATAGTCTGATACCTAATGTCACAACCCAGAAATTGACAAAAATGCCAATGTAAAAGAAACTCAAACATCTGGTTTCAGTTATTCTCTAATACCTCTACGTAGTGCTGAAAATGGCTAGTACTTCAATTATAAATTAATGCAATGAATGTGTTTGAGAGCAACAAACCAGTGCAGAAAAGAACTATTAGAAGATTGATTGTATTTTACAATTTTGGAATCACTGAATAAAAGCTTTTTCATGATTTCACATTCTAAACGTATGGACATACAAATTATTACCAATGCTATAATTAAGAGTGATTGAAGTAATAGGGTCTACTTTACTTAGGGGTAGGGTTAAAATGTATATGAAAGTTCAAAATTAAAAGAAGCTTGTCAATTTCTTTAAATGAGCAAAATTAAGCAAGTTTCCCAGTTTTTACTGACACAATTAGAATTAGAATGTTTTGAGTAGCAGTCCATAGACTAATACCTAATGCCAGTACCAAGAAAAAGTATAGAAATAAAAATATGAAAGAAACTCTCACAGTTTTAATTAAAACATTAATTCTACTTACTCTTTTGCATGAAATGTTTTTGCATGTGAGACCAAAAGAGCTTAGAAATCTCATACATCTTAAATTAATGCTTTTTGCACAGATACCTTGAGCCTGGAGAGCTCCAACTGCTTGAGCTCATGTGTGCATGGAAAATAGATCTTCAGAATGAGGTTTAAAACATGTAGGGGATATTCATGGGATCCTTGAAAGCTCCAATGCCTAAAGGCCCAGTACATTGTTGAAAGACCAATGACTTATATTATTAAAATATAAGGGACCTATTGAGGTCTTGTTATTCTAGGTGTTAATCATTAATATTGTTGGCTAATTGACAACATAAACATGAAAGTGGATTTATTTGATAAGATTGTAATTTTCGCCAATCCGCTCCACCTCACAACAGTTTCTCCCTTGCTGGGGTGGGGGGTGAACGTTTTTCACAACCATTTAGGTTAGACCTGATAATGAGATAATGGGCCACAGACTGTGTAGCTACCCAGGGATTAAGCTGGATGTGCCCTGTTGAATCTGAAATACTATATCTGGGCAATACAACCAAGAATCCACCAGCAGTGGATTCACGCACCACCAGACTCCACCTGGGTAGAGATGGAGGCTGAACTCAGTAAACCAGCTTCTATTGTAAACCTCTTAGGCAGGAAGATGACAAATTTACCCCCGCTTGCTAAAAAGAACCCATTGATATTAAACATGGAAACATGGATCAAGATAACTAAATTCTTAAGTTATTATCCCTCTCTTTATACAGTATGCCGTCTTCACAGGTGGGTGACCCTAACCTACCCCCTGCAAAGACAGGCTCCCATTAACTGGCAAACCCCCTAACTGGCAAACAGCACGTACAGTATACATAGAATTTCTGACCTATTTGAAGGAGGGGTATTTAAAATTATTTGAGCATCTCGGAGCACAATATAATATACCAACTAGAGACTTCTTCAAATATCTCCAGGTCAGTCATTATGTACTGTAGGTACTAACAATGGTGGTCTTGATTTTTTCAGCAACTCGCACACATTGGGAAAAAATTGGTGAAGAGTAAGAACGCAAAGAAATTTCCATCCAAGTTTTACACCTTCTTTTCTAGGCATGAGGCAGACTCCCTAAAATCTTTCCAGACAAATTGGAGCTGAGAACTGAGGTATTATATAGATGGTGATATTTGGAAAACTATTCTTCTATAGCCTTCAATAATCTCCATCTGTAACTGGTATAAAGAACTGCAGTGAAATTTGCTACATAGTGTAGAGCGTATGTGTCTCCACAGATCTACAGCAAATTTAGAACAGACACATCACCTAACTGCCCTAAGTGTAAAAACCAGGTTGAAACACAGCTCCATTGTCCATAGTGTCTTGATCTCATAAGAAACTTTAAGATTCATCCTAAAAGTTTAACTAGAATGTTTAAAAGAATTGCAGGGAAAAGCCTTTGAAATCATTAGTTAAAAGAAGAGTTCAATATACTGTATACTCTTAAGCCATTATATAAAATTATACTATGATATTTATACCTTTTTATGGCAAACTCTGATATAGCTGACTTTATTTGTTTTTTTCTTTCACTCTCTATCCCTTTTTTTCATTTCTTTCCCTTCATTTCATTGTTATTCTCTTAGAAAGTATAAAAAAATCATGTATTTACTGTGACTGCCTTGTAATATTGAAAAAAAATAAGAAAAAATAAGTACTTTGTGTGTGAAGGAATACACTTAAAACATAGGAAACATTATTACATTCAAGAACATGGTACATATTACATTAGACCTGTCATGTGCCTTACAATATAATATTTTAGCTTTACTGTGTGCCATTTATCTCCTTTTGCAATAGAAATGTGAAGGGCACACAAGCTTTGGTTTTGTTGCTCTGAGATTCTTCCAGCTTGACTTCAGCTTATGGAGGAAAAATGCCTCACAACAAAATATCACATTCTGAAGCTACTGGACAGTCATCAGTATTCCCCCTCTTTCCCTGTTGTTCTTTTTTTTTTGCTGTAGTTGCTGCAGCAATAAAGGAGAAACACTGAAAAAACATTCTGCACTTAAAAATGGTCTAATGGAACTGACAACTTGACATGCTTTCTTTCAGGTTCTTTATATTCTTTAATAATAGTGCCTATTAGTCGCTAAGTGCAACGAGGACTGCAGAAAATTTATTAACCCCGTGATTCCCTGGATATGCTGAATTGTACATCGTTTTATTGTTTTCAGCATTTTAATGTAATGAAAAAACACCATACTGTACAGTACATGTGTGCTGAATAAATAATTGATGTAACATGATGTGAATCATTTTAAGAGATGAACAAAATGAAGAAATGAAAAAAGAGCTAAACAAAAGATAATCTTCACTCTTTAATGTTTTTAGATTAGTTCATCACCACTGGGACTGCATCACTCCTTAGGTAAACCACTGACTTTTATTTTGGTATCTTCTCACTGCCTGAAAACCAGCTTTCCCTGAAACTCACAACTAGCTAAATGAAAACACTAGGTTTCTAAGCAAGAAATTAACATTTGATCTACTGAAAAGGGTCAGGTCCTTCAAATATCAAAGTTCTCAACATATAGAAGCATAGGGAGCACAGAAATGAGATATTCAGTTTACAAATTAAATGCCTTTGTTGGCCTGCTACTAAAGAACATCTTGTCTCAATCTGAAAGCTAAATCAGTAACACCTCAAATTGACAAAATATGGTTTTAATAATTAACATAAGTAATATGGTTTGCTTTAAACAAACAGGGAAAAAATGTACTGTATGATGTCTATTGCTGCAATGGGCTCTCCATTTTAACATACAACAGAAAACACAAGGGTATGCCTTTTATTTATGGAAATAAATATCCATTCTTCGTCTTTTATTATATTCAGGTGAGCGCATTGAAATCTTCAAAATATGCAAACGTTTTAAGCAATCATGCCTAAAACCCTCAAGATTTTCATGCTTTGTGAGCATACTGGGTTAATAATGCTTGCATTTTTAGACGCGGCTCAGTTGTGCCACTGTCAGTCACATTAGCTATGGTTGTATCTCCTTAAATTTAATCCAACCCATGCTTATCTAAAATTCATGTTTCTGATTTGAATGGGGCTTATTCAAATTCCATACTGATAGCTAGAAATAAAGCTTTGCTGGAGCAAAAGAAGAGAAAAGATGGATAACCTACTGTATGATCAAGTTCCGATTGGATTGGATTTGACTGGATTTTATTCTGCGATGTGCTGATGCCAACGACTTATTAAAACCATTACCTACAGGACTCCTGCGAAATACACATTGCTCTGTGGTGTGCACAGTATGTGTGCATGCATGTGGAAGAGACTGGGAAATATGACAAACTGAAGGAGAGTTTTGCTCTGTGTACCCCCCTAGGTAAAGAGGATTACTGCATCAAAACAATCATAATTACACTATGGGTATAATCAGGATGCATTCAGCAGTTCTGGACTTACGATAATCTTAAACAATATGTTGTTTACCATTTATATTTTCAATATATTCTTACAATTTTTTACACCAGATCGACTTCTAGAGTAAAAT